TGGAGCTCGTGGGAAGGGTTTTCAGCGGTCGACACAAAAATATAATGCACGTTTTCAGTACACACCCGGAGCAGCGGTGTGGTGTGACGGCGAGAAGCGTGCAGTGTCGGTTATGTGTTGCGGGTGGTGCGGGTGCGCGAGTGTGTGCACACCGATATATTAAAGAGTGCGAGGAGTGTTATTGACATCCGAGGGCAGTCCTTTTGCCCGATATTCACTCCCTCCCCTCTCCAATGCATTTCCACACCACCGTTATAATCGGCAAACCGACCCTCATCCCTGCGCCACGACAACCCTTCAAATTGGAATGTCCTTTAATGTAAACACGCGCGTCGGTGGTGATGGATTCATCGCTTACTCATCATTGTCGGAGATCGACGTGACCGTTTAGTCAGACTTAATGTCTGTTTGCGTGCGTGCGTGCGAGAAATATAATATATCATATTATAATATATGTACCTAAATAATAGATGATGTTAGTGTGAGCCGGGCCATGGCCGCTGGGCCGCGAGCGCATCCGGGGCCTGCGCGCGTATTTGTGTCAAGGGTTCTCGATATTATTAAAAATATAATATTTCGCTACTTATAATCATTTTTTTTATCATTTTATAATATAAAATTTTTGGGGACTTCTGAAGAAATGCATCCAGGGCCCTTTAAGTACCAGACCAACACAGGATGACGTATATACATAAAATATTATGGATTTCTGTGTGATWATATTATATTGTACAGCAATCTCAGTCGTTCGTAAAATGTGACGAAGAGTGCGGGATGCACCGGATCACACTGTCCCCGATTTATTTGTAACCTATAACAATTATGATTAAATTATTTAAACTGTGCATTTCAGATTTTGAGCGGTGGATAAATACTGCGGGATCGTATATGGGTTATTTATTGATATATTTTCTTATTACTATTATCGCCATAATAATATAATATAATATATTATCATCTTACTCTCCAAACGGGKTTTTCGGGTAGAAGAAKTGTGCTCCTAAAGTTTCTCGTGACCCTGCTGTCTATTGATTGAAAATCGAGACCATAATATTATTATAGTAGTATTTGGTACTTGGAATACGGAATAGGTCATTTTTCAAAAACACTCTCGGAGTTTTTCGCGTATACGCGTGCAAAGAAAAACTACACATCATATCATATATGTATAAGAACATACGCACGTTGAAGAGGTGAAGAGACTTGAACTATAGCGCAATTTTAATCGAGAATCGTTTTTCGAACGTGATGATTTATCRTCGATTTCAAAATTAGGTATTGAACATCGCGACGCACAATACCTACCTCACTATATATAACATATTAACACTACTGTCGCACACCACGTGTGGTCATCGTATCCACTTCGGCTTTGTTTGTTTGGCGATGTAATATTTCGTCTAAAACCATTGATCGAATTATAATATATTGTAAATGATGTTTAAATTATACCATATAATAAATTATGCGTACCGCTTCAATCCTCTCCAAATCATAACGTAAACGAGATTGGATATATTGTTRTAATTATAATCGTAATTATTAATCGTTGTTATTGTTCGGTATAGTATTCTGTGCTGTATACGAAAAACTACAAACGCGCTTTTCCTCTCACCCGAATCTATGAACATATTATTATTATTATTATTAATAATAATAATATGATAGTATGCTGGTTGAAAATTCGTGTTTTTCGGTAACAAAAGCTAGGTTTAGCCACATTGTAGGTGTGTACGCATATAGTTTACGCGGAAATGTTCTGGTAATTATTTAAGTACTGTTACAGTGTTGTTGTAGCTTTGTTGGACTGACTACGGTGTTTGTAGAAGTCGATTATGCATACATTACAACATAGTACCTATTTTATAACACTTTAACGGCTAGATTGTATTTTAATAGTATTGCCACGACTATAATGTAACAATATGTTCATTAAATCAAGATGGTCCTCTCAATACATACATTGGTTGTATGTTTTGCTGATAAGTTTTGTTTTGAATTTAATGAAAATAATWATTATAATAAYTAAAATATATCACTACGAATGACGCACCATTATGGGTTTTAAGTATATTTAACATGTTTGAATTAAATCCATTTTTGTCTCATTTAAAAGCAAGTAAATATCGAATAAAATAATATTTGTGATTATTTAAATTAGATTGTGTATCCATTAAAAATAAATTAAATTAAAATGTGTTATACACTAAAAAACAACAACAAAAATATCAATTAATATAATAATATATAAAATTATAATATTATGATGTTTAATATCATTTTTATTTGAAAGCGACTGGTGTATAAATATGCCTTTAGAATATTAATTAGCATAAATAATTATTATGTCTGAACGCGCTAGTGATWATACCTAAAAAATGGTATTTATTGCAGTTTAATTAATGTTCGTTTTTAAAATTGATTTTCAAAACGAATCCTCAATTTTTATTACTGTTAMTATTTTTAATCATAATATTATAGCTGCTGCATTTAGTTGAAAATCATAATCAATCACATAATATATAATGTTTTTAATTATACCAGTTACTGAGATACCTAACACCTACTATTTACATTCCTATTATTTCATGTGTAATTTATCATCTAGAACGTTTATACGTATGCATATAAATATATACATTATTATTTTTCTAATAAAAATGGCGTTTGAAACAATAGCGAATGATGTTTGAAACAATTGTAAAATAATAATTTATTGGACAACTTTTGTGATAAAAATTAAACTAAAATTAATCGTTTCACGTTGATGCCGCAAATAATATGGTCGTATGAATCATATATCCATGATGATATTATTAATACATTTTTTTCATTCTGATATTAAGTATATTTCATACTTTGTATTGACAAGATAAATGTGTTTATCAAAGCTTAAAAGCAAAAACCGATTTTTTTTAATGGAATAAAAAACAGCAAAAAATATACACGTTTGTGGTGTGCTCAATTACCTATATAAAATTAAAACAAATTACTTACAGAATAAATGTGATGTATACCGTACAGGTGTCACAAGCAAATTTATTTCCAATGAGTTTGACGAAGAATAAAACGTATTCTATTGAGAGATACATGAGAATGTGAAATGAAAACATTTGTATTATCGAATAATGCCTTAATATATATATAAGTAAATGTTAAAATAATAACTTATGAAAATGTATATATATATATTGTATAGATATGCTATATTTTATTAACAAATGTCAGAATCAAATATTTAAGTTTATAAAAAAATCGACGTGTGTATAAATAACTAGAAAACTATTTAATATAAGTGACTCTATACGCGAAATACTTTTCTAAATATTTAAGTAAATATAATAATTTTATTTGTTGCATATAACACATAACATTATACTCTAAACCTAAAATAAAAAATTATGTTTAAATTTTTGGACATCACTTACTTAGTAAAATACTAAACGGAATATATGATGTAACTTCTAAGTAATTTCTTAAATAATAGCTTCTACACGAACACTGTAAGTTAAAATAAATTACTAAATATCGGAAATTTCCGAGATTTAAATATTATTAAGTTTAGATTTATTWTATGATTGAATCAAAATATTGTTTTTTTTATTAAAAAATCGCAAAATTTTATCAATTTTTATCATTTAAAAA